TTAATAATGTGCTCTCCCCGGACTTTATCCAAGCTGAAGGTGTCCCCCAGGGATGTGTTCTGAGCACAACACTTTTTCTCCTTGCTATTAATGATTTGGCCTCTAGTCTTCCATCAAATATTTGGTCATCACTCTATGTTGATGACTTCGCTATTGCCTGTGAAGGCGCTGACTGTCACCTCATTACAGTTTCTCTCCAGCATGCGGTCGACCGTGTTTCCAATTGGGCCACCACACATGGGTTTAAATTTTCCAGCACTAAAACCCACCAAATTACTTTCACTAGACGCTCTGTCATCTCCGATCATCCTTTGTACCTCTATGGCTCCCGTATCCCTGAATGTGATACAGTCAAGTTTCTGGGCTTCCTCTTTGACCATAGGTTATCCTGGACACCTCACATTACCTCTCTGAAGGCAACTTGTCACAGCCGGCTGAACCTTCTTAAAACCCTTGCTCATCTTTCATGGGGAGCTGATCGTCGAACCCTCCTTCGCCTACATTCCACCCTCATTTTATCGAAACTTGATTATGGTGACCAGATCTATTCAGCGGCATCTCCTGCTACTCTCTCTAGCCTTAACCCTAATTATCACCAAGGATTACGTTTATGCCTTGGTGCTTTTCGCTCTTCCCCTGTTGAGAGCCTCTATGCAGAAGCGAATGTTCAATCCTTATCCGATCGCCATGATGCCCATTGCCTTCGCTACTATGTACGCTCTCATGATCTCCGCAATCCTTCCATTTATAGAATGGTCACTGATATTAGTAGACATTCGTTATTTGTTCACCTCCCCTGTTTACTCTGTCCCTTCTCTCTTCGCCTTCATTCGCTCTTGTCTTCTCTTCAATTACCACCTTTCTATGTTCATGTAGCATCTCACTTTTCCCTACCCCCCTGGGAAGTTCCAGCTGTTCGAGTCTGTTTTTTCTCTCTCCCTTGCTCGAAAGCCCAACTATCTATGGTCGCTTCCTGCTCTCTTTTTCTTGACCACTTCCTCTCTCATTCTCATGCCATTGCTGTGTACACAGATGGCTGTAAGTCTTCTAACGGCGTAGGATTCGCAGCAGTGTTTCCGGACAGCGTCGTACGAGGGCATTTACTATCTTCGGCTAGTATTTTTACTGCTGAATTGTATGCCATCCTTGCAGCACTTACCCATATTGCATCTATGCCTGTGTCATCATTTGTGGTTGTCTCAGACAGAAATTTGATACACCTCACCCCTTAGTCCTCCGTATCCAACTTTGGCTACGCCGCATCTTTACCAAGCATAAAGATATTATGTTTTGTTGGGTCCCTGGTCATGTTGACGTACAGGGCAATGAACAGGCAGACACTGCTGCGCGGTCAGCAGTACATGACCTACCAGTTTCATATAGAGGTATTCCATTTACGGACTATTTTGCTGCAATATCTTCCCACCTTCACACCCGTTGGCAACAACGTTGGTCTACTATGCTTGGTAACAAACTTCAATCTATTAAACCGAGTATAGGTTACTGGCCGTCTTCTTATCACCAGTGTCGAGGTTGGGAGACTACTCTCTCCCGTCTTCGCATTGGCCATACTCGTCTTACTCATGGATATCTCATGGAGAGGTGCCCTGCTCCTCTCTGTGAGAATTGCCAGGCTCCATTATCAGTCAGCCACATTCTGTTGGACTGCCCACTTTATCAACGAGCACGCAGAATTTACCTCCATCGTCATCTTCGCTCCGCTGCTCTCTCTTTACCTTCCCTTCTCGCTGATGAACCCACCTTTCATCCGGACTCTCTCATTGACTTTTTGACAACAACTGACTGACTTCACAAATTCTGATACCTTCAGCCCTTTCTACCTCAATCTCTTGCTACCCTCTAACCCCGTACTATCCCCTGCCCCGCTGTTTTCTGTAAGCTACTGCTCATCGCTCCTCCCTTCTGCTGCCCAATACCCTCGCTTCCTTCCCTACCCTGCAGCGCTGTATAGCCCTTGTGGCTTAGCCCTTCTTTTTGATTATAATAATAATAATCAGGGATTTTCAGAGTAATACGCCAGTAAAGGCTTCACTTTGAAATCCCCAATAGCGTTACAACAGAACAAAGGAGTTAGCCTATCCTTCATAGGCTTGTGTCCTGGCAGTGCCTTTTTGTCCTGCATGATGTAGGTCTTTTTTGGCATTTTCTTCCAAAAAAGGCCTGTTGTTTCACAATTGAAGACTTGTTGGGGGAGGAATCCTTCAGCCTCTACATATTCCCTGAATTTATCAATGAATTCTTCGGCCCCATGTTTGTCCGAACTTGCAGCCTTGCCATGCCTTACCACACTGTGTATGCCAGTTCGCTTCTTGAATTTGTCGAAACAGACTCTACTGGCCCTAATTTCACTAACAGCAACACTCATTCCAGGCATTTTCTTTGCGAGATCCGCATGCAACAGCCTTGCCTTTTCGCAAATTATCACCTCCAAAACACTATCTCACACTAACTGTTTTTCGTTGATCCACACCAACAACAACTTATCAACATCTTCATTTGTTTGAGATCTGTTTCATTAGCACATTTACCCCTTTCGCAACATCAGCTTCCTTTATTTCTATTTTCTTCGCAAGGATGGAACTGATTGTTGATATGGACTTCTCGTACATCCTGGTGAGATCGGCCATGCATACGCCACTTTCGTACTTTGCTACAAGTTCTTTCTTGAATTCTATTGTGCTTCTCGCCTCCTTTATCAACGGGCTGGCACTTGGAACTTTCTTTGGCACCATGGTGGCTTATTTAGCAGTCGCACTCAATAAACAAGCACAAAAATTGCGAAATGTTTCAGATGAATGATCACTCAACCAGTGACACAGCCAGACTGATGGTGTCCCAGGCGGGTGGATGCGTATGATATGTACGATTTCCGGATTGAGGTACAAAATCCAGCCCAAAATTTCACCCAGAAAAAGAGTTCTAAATCCAAATTGTAAGATATGCAAACCATACGAAAACTGGAGTTCCTCTGTGTGTGTGTACTCACCTAGTTGAGGTTGCGGGGGTCGAGTCCGAGCTCCTGGCCCCGCCTCTTCACTGTGTGTGTGTGTGTGTGTGTGTGTGTGTGTGTGTGTGTGTGTGTGTTGTGTGTGTCTGTCTGTCTGTGTGTGAGAGAGTGTGTGTGTGCATGCGTGCATGTGTGTGTGTGCGTGCGTGTGTGTGTGTGCGTGCGTGTGTGTGTGTGCGTGCGTGCGTGTGTGTGTGTGTGTGTGTGTGTGTGTGTGTGTGTGTGTGCGTGTGTGTGAGAGAGAGTGAGTGAGTGATGGTGTGTGTGTGTGTGTGTGTGTGTGTGTGTGTGTGTGTGTGTGTGTGTGTGTGAGTGTGTGAGTGTGTGAGTGGGGAGTGAGTGTGTGTGTGTGGTGTGTGTGTGTGTGTGTGGTGTGTGTGTGTGGTGTGTGTGTGAGTGTGGGGTGTGTGTGTGTGGTGGTGTGTGTGTTGGTTGTGTGTGTTGTTTGTGTTATTGGTGTGTTGGATTTAGAGAGTAGGAGAGAAGATAGATTGACGTGATTTGAATTGAGTGAAGGAAGTCGTAGTGTGGAAATTAGGGATATGTGGGTACAAAAGTATATCTGAGGGGTTATGAGGTGTTTGGTCATTTAGAATGTTGGGCAAAATAGAATGATTATACCATTACGTACTTTCCTTTACTTTGGAGGGGTATATAAATCTGTGTGGAGGGGAAGGGGATAGGGTATCCTAGGAACGGATGCAGGGGGGGTTTATAAAGAGGTTTTGTGGCAAGGAGTTGGAATGCAGCAGGCATATGAAGCATCTTAGATAGAGTGATTGGAGGACGAATGTCTTTTTGGACCTAACAAGCTGTTGGGAGTGTGGAAGATTAATATTTTGTGAAGGGATTGGGGAAACGGTTAGCCAGCTCGAGTCTTGGAGGTGGGAAGTACAATTCCTGCACCTTAAAGGAGGAGTTTGGCATATTGATTGTATGGAGTGACATCTAAATTGCCATATCTGGACACCTCTGCAAAGACAGTGATTTGTGTGAATGATGGTGAAAGTGTTTCTTTTTTTGGTCACCCTGCTTTGGTGGGAGACAGTCGGTGTGTTGAAAGATGAAAGAATATGAAGGAAGAATGGGCAAGTGAGTTTACTGCAAATGGTAAAATAGCATGAAAGTAAGTGGAAGATTCAGATTCAGAATTGTCAAAATCTTGACAATATATATTTTTACTGTTAATTTGAGTGGTCCAGTAATGACACCAGTACCAGAAGATTCAGGTGCTCAGAAATCATTTGATTATTTAGTATAATACCATATAGCCTTTTCAGAAATACAGTGGACCCCCGTTTAACGATATTTTTTCATTCCAGAAGTATGTTCAGGTGCCAGTACTGACCGAATTTGTTCCCATAAGGAATATTGTGAAGTAGATTAGTCCATTTCATACCCCCAAACATACACGTACAAACGCACTTACATAAATACACTTACATAATTGGTCGCATTGGGAGGTGATCGTTAAGCGGGGGTCCACTGTATAATAATGTCGAAATACAGTAACAAAAAAGTTTGATTAAGATCTTAGTTTTTTGTCTAAGTAAATAAATTAAGAATTTTTTTTTAATTTTGACACCTTCAGCCATACTTTATTCACATTAGGGGAGAGTTTGTTGTATGGTTTATTATGACATATTGGGATAAGTGGCAAATAATAATGCTTAACTCTCAAGACTGAGTGCTCAAGAGAATGTCACTGAGTGCAAGTGGGGAAATCTAGCTTGCAATTTCCTTTGTTTGGGATGTCAGATTGATTGGTGGAGTTGTAAATCACATGTTGTAGACTGTTAGAGGTGCTTTTGTTGTAAATGTTTTTCTTTTATTCTTTTGCAGTAAAACTAGGGGACAAATTTAATTATATTTAGTTATTTGTTTATATTGTATGTTGAGTTATGTATCTTTAGTTTCAATATCGCTATTAAAACAGATAAGGGGTGGAAATTTGATGCGTGACCATTCCTAACTTGCAGACGTTGCAGACGCTGAGCGATGTGGTGTATCAGGTCACAACCAAGGTGTGTGTAAGCCTTGGGCTACCACTAACTCTCACTTCCTTACTTGGTTTTCTACTCTTGTTTGATGACTCAGCTCTCCCTTTTGTTTATGCATGGCTGCATTTTTATTGGGTCATATCCCTGCCTGCTTAAGCATTTTGCCCAATCAGAATGCAGTGTGTATAAGCAAATTGGCTTGACACCTACCATAAAAGCTTGGATTATCCAAGTCTCTATGTAAACCTTCATATGTTCAAACACCAGTTTCCTGTAATACTAGATATCTTGGACTCTTGTTTGGCACTTTGTGAATAAATTTTTCTTACTGAAATAAGAACACTTTGTTCACAAACCTTTGAAATAAGTTAATGGATGGTAAACAGGAAGTTGTGGATGTATAGTATTGTAGGTGAGTGTTGAGGATATTAAGGTAGTGTGTAGCACAAGCCTGGTTGGCTGGGGACTGAGGCTGTCCCTTTCCTCTCCTGCAAGGTGTGCACGACTACTAACAACATCCTGGTGTACACTAACAGACTTTTCTCTTCTTTAGGGTAGTGGGTTTGCTTGACTCACAAAAATAGTCACTACAGTGTATAGTTCTTACTGCATGTTTTTCATTGGCATGCCTTCTTTAATAACTCTATGGGGGATGAGATGTCCTGAACGTCTGTTGGTGTTACCAGTGCAGAGAGAAGTCTGCTATAAAGTCATGCCCAGATATTTAGGATTTTTGTGTTTGAGAAGTGATGTAGCTAATTTATTTTATGCTGATCAACTTTAGTTTTGAATCTGTGGTAACATCTTTATAATTGATGTGAAGAGAGAAATAGTCTTCATAGAAATTCCAATCGTGAATTGAAGTTTGCAGCAGTGTTTTAGTCTTGAACAGTAGCACTGCTTCTTGGAATTGACATATTCAGTATTTGTATGTTGTTCAGTATCCTAACAGATGACGACTTAGTGGCAAATATGAGTATGAAAGCTTACCAATAGGTTTTTATTTATAATTACAATTAAGTAGTACTGAAAATCCAAAGTTGTTATGATTAGGAGTTCTTTTATGTTGGTTTTTCCTGTTAAAGTGAAAAGCAGTGGCTGAGCTGCTTAGCTTCATTTATACATCTAACTTTTTCATTTATGACTTCTGTATATACAAATTATAAAAATATTTTAACCAGAAATTGTTCTACACTTTTATATCTCTTCAATATCTGTGAGAGATTGATTCTGTGAGAAGCTTGAGAAAGTCAATATATGCTTGTGAATGGTCAGTACATGGAGGCTTGTAACATGCTTGTGAATAGTCGGTACTTGCTTCTGGAAGGTCGTTACATGCCTTTGAAGAGTTAGTGTTAGTACATGTTTCTGGAAAGTCAATACATGCTTGTGAAGGGTCATTTAATGCTTGTGGAACTTACATTTCATTTTGAAAAGGGAAGTTTTCTTGACCCCTTTAGCCTCTGTACCCAGACAAGTATAAATGGCTATTATATTACAGGTGGTGGGGTTCAGGATCACAAAACCTTGTTATCACAGATCTATGCTTTTCTTACTTGCATTATGTATTTATAGTTAAAAAAGCAGAACTGCTCATGGTGTCCTGTCTTCACTATTTAATTTTCCATATAATATTTTATAGTTTATTACTTCTAGTATTTGATACATCCTTTTGAATTCCTGTCACGCAATTAAAGTACTTTCAGTTTTTAGTTTTCCTTCATAACTCTTGTATTTTAGCCATGTGAGCCATATTGTTGACAACATTTTTCTATTGTACCATTTTTGTATTTTTAGGTGTGACCACCCCCACTACTGCTGCTTATTTCAGTCGTGCACAAATGTATGTTGCATATAGCTCTTTTTAGAATTTTCCCATCTATTGATGGCTATGTATTTGGAAGTTTCTCACTGTAGCAGATGAGTTTCTTATGATTGCATTTATGGGATTTTCCAAAAACACTCATAGATCACACTGTCTGGCTCTTTCAATATTTTGTTATGCAAATTATATTCTTCATGTGGCATGTTATCACTTTTTTTTTTTTCCATTTCCATTACATAGCACTTACCTACTTGCAGTTCATCATCTGTCTAAAGTATCACTCCATTAGCTTAGTTTATGAATGACTTTTTATAGGGAATTAGACATGTTTATTATTTTGCATAGATTTGTTGCATTGTCAAGGACAAGCATATATCTTTATGGCACCTTGCTGGTGGCTTCCCCATTATGACACTTGTTTTCTTTTTATGGCACTTCATTTTCATTCTGTATAGAAAAATCTCTGTTGTAGTTTACAATTTATTCTTCAGTGTGATTCTCCTAAATGTACTGTATTTTCTGGCATATAAGATGTGTATCGTCCTCCCCCCTTTCCCCAAAATGTCAGAAAATCAGCATGCCCCTTGTATGAGGAAGAAGGGTAGACTTGGGTTACTGGCAAGTGGTAGCTTCACTGCTGCAATACTGGTAAACTAAACTACAAACACCCCATCCCCTATAAAACTGTTTCCCAGGTTACTTAGAGTGATTAATAACTATTATAAATTATAATTTACATATTACTGACTGGTTAGCTGGGCTTGAGTCCTGGTGGTAGGAAGTACAGTGCCTGCACTGTAAGAGAGGGGTTTGGGATATTTGTTGTCTAAAGTGACATCTAAACTGTCGTATTGTGCACCTCTGGCAAGTCAGTGATAATGTGAATGATGGTGAAAGTGTTTCTTTTTCGGGCCACCCAACCTAGGTGGAAGATGGCCAGTGTGTGTAAAAAAAAAATTACTGGTACGTAATAAGCAAACTGGCTTTAGCAGTTACAACCAGTTTTTAAGTGGTGGTCTGTAAACAACATATATCCATGTTTGTTTTGGTTGTTGGTAGCAGTCTAGCAAATGACAGACTGTGTAAGGTACCTTCTCTTTCACTACGCTTTGTGCATAACAACCACCCACTAGCTCACTAATTTAGAAGCAAAGACTGCATTTTTTTTAATTTTCCTCAGAATATTCTTACCAATGTTGAGGTGCACTTTAGGTGCCAGAAAATGCATTAATGTTCATAATAATCATGGGAACTCTGTTGAAATTGTATTATATGTAAATTAATAAAATCTGCCCCTGTGAGATATGGAGACTGCCTGCATAATCTTGTTTGTTACCAGAATAATTTCTGTGACTATCATAGTAACTAATTGATTTGATAAATGGAATTTTCCTGACAGGAAAGCAAATTGTGGGATAGTTAAAGTGAAATACTGGGCTTATGTGCGCTTGCGTTCCTTTAATTCCATATTCACTTTTGGTTCTTAAGATGATCTGTAGATTTTTATTTCTTTTTTTAAAAAATCCATGTTTATAATATAGTATTGTACTGTATTTTCTTTTATTTTGAGAGTCTTAAATCAAAAATCAATTATCCAGCTCCACACACACATATGCACATGTCCAGTCCAGTCATCAACACCATCAACTGCTTGGCAACTGCCAAGTTGCTGTGAGTAAGGGAAGGTGTTGCATGCCACACTGTTTGCAGCCAAGGGTACTTGTGGAGTCTCAGTCATCCATGCTGCTCTTTACTCACATGCTCTCTCATCCAAGATGAACACCAAAATGGTATACAATACCGACAGGTTGGTAGGTAAGACACATAGGCAACAGTTAGGCAACTTTATTCCGAAACGTTTCGCCTACACAGTAGGCTTCTTCAGTCGAATACAGAAAGTAGGCAGGAACAGTAGAGATGTGAGGACGATGTAATCAATCCATCACCCTTGAAGTCGTAGAATTTGAGGTTCTCAGTCCCTCAGCCTGGAGAAGTTCAGTTCCATAGTCAGGAACTATCTGAAGATCAAGCGACAGTGCGGAGACTTAAATACTGTCGGAAGGAGAGGTGCATAGTAGTAGTAGTAGTGAGAATGTAGCCACTGAGAGGTCATGTCCCTCTCAGATCCAACAATTCTCACTTGAAAAGGTTGTCCAAGGTGTTTTCTGTACCAAGATGCCATGTGTTGCAGTGTCTGACAAGATGAACATCAAAATGGTGTCGCTTGATCTTCAGATAGTTCCTGACTATGGAACTGAACCTCTCCAGGCTGAGGGACTGACAACCTCAAATTCTACGACTTCAAGGGTGATGGACTGATTACATCGTCTTCACATCTCTACTGTTCCTGCCTACTTTCTGTATTCGACTGAAGAGGCCTACTGTGTAGGCGAAACGTTTCGGAATAAAGTTGCCTAACTGTTGCCTATGTGTCTTACCTACCAACCTCTCTCATCCAAATTGTTTACATAAGTGTTGCTTAAACCTGTGAGTTCCTGTATTTCATTTTTGCATGGATTTTTTAATTAATTTGATATATTAATGTCTTCACAGAATAAATCAGCACATGTAGTTAGTATTAGTGACATTGGTATGAGTGCTAAATATGTGAAGGGCAAGAAAGAGGCTGCCACATTAAGAAGTGCTGATCTTGATAACATTAGTGAATTAAATGAACCTTAATCTTGCATTTTCTCAAAAGTCGGTAGTGTAGATCATGGTGCATGTTGGTAATGCAGTCTTTGACATTTACATTATTACATTAATGAGCACCATTATTTGAGATTGTCATTTTGAAGGTAAACATGTTTGCAGGGTATCTAAGGTAAACCTAAATTTAACGGACTAATAACTAAGGGGAAAGAGGGTGGTCTGTAATTGCAATTGTGGTGGTGGATAGAGGTGAGATTGATTTGCTGTGTTCATTACTGTAACAGACAGTTCAGTAACTAGCAGATTAGATCTCAATCAGTTGGCCAAGCAAATTGTGTCACATATTTCCAGAGCCCATTAAAATGAGGGTTCACTGTACTGTGTAAACTGTACTTCTCCAGTTGTTCTCTTACTGTCATAGTCATGAAGTTATTGGTAAGAAATGGAGCAAATATATATTATTCATTATATTTTTTTATTGTGTATCCTCACCCATGTAAAGGAACACTTTGGTTTTAACAAAGAATCATGCAAGTACATATCTATA